TATATATGTAACATGTATTTTGTGTAAAAGTTGTTGATTAAACCGGAAATTACAAATTTTCTACGCAATGTGCTAATAAATTCAACGCTTGTTGCTTCCAAGCAATATGTCGGAATCCTTTTCACAAATAAATTTTGAGATTTTCATTTAATAAATTTAATAGTTACGTGTCTGCAATAGAATAACGAATATCTGACGTGACATGCAGGAATTTTAAAACAATTTAATTATTTTAAACGTAACACGTTAAGTGCTTAGCAAAATCCTGTAAGAAAATTTGATTTTAGTGTTGTGTGAATAATTGCTAAAGGACGAAATACTCCACATGTACTTCAGTGCTTCACACGTTCTTCGCTTGTAGCGCTAAGCATAGCCAGATTCGGTGGCAGACATGAGGAAGCGCTCTTCACAGAACTGTGTTTGCATACCAAACCACAAATAACTGAATTGCTGCTTAATGTGCCACACAGTGAAATTGCCTTATTGCCTTATTGCCTTAAGGATGAGTAGCATTTCCTTGCTTTGTGGCGTGAACGTGTTTGTTATTTTAAAGTATCTAAAAGTAGGCTAATCATTCAAATGTTATTTGCACTGAAAGAAATAAAAGTGAGCAAAGAAAAAGAAACAAAAATTGTAAAAAGATATAAAGCGAAAAGTTCCGGGAAATGCAAAGTGCTAAAGAAAAAACTGATAGCAAAATCCACTTTTATCATCCGACAAATATCCTTCGAATTGAATTTTTCCTCAGGCTACACACTACCGCCTCTTTGAATTTTTCCTTTTCACCTTTTTCTTGATGCAAAGGCTGCTGCTATTTGCCAATGATGGCTTCTTTATACGTTTTTTTACCTTTTTAACATCAATCCATTTTTATTCTCAGACACTTCAGAACAGTTCCACACAAACATCACTACTGACTATCGGTTCGTATATTTTGGCTTTGATAGTTTATAACTAAGGCGCGCTGCAGCTGCAGCCGTTGGAGAGGACCGATGTGAATGTGAAAGTCAATAAAAACTTTTGCTGCAGAAATCCGCATTATATAAATGCAAGCAGAAGTTCTGCACTCTTCGCTTTTTTTCATTATAAAAAAAAAATGTTTTTTGTGGTTTATTTTGTAATAAACCGCAATTTTAACCAAACGAAAAAAAAGGCTTCGAAATAAAGAATACAAGTAATCAAAGCTGTTGTAGGCGTGTGTGGGGCGCAAAAAGTTTTGTTGCATTCACTCAATGCAAAATGCATAAAAACACAAAACTGCTTTAACATTATTATTAAAATTTTATTTTTCAACATCAATCATAACCAAGCCAATTTAAAACTTCGTTAACAAACATTTTCTGTTATTGCAACGTCAATTGAAGTGAAATCCATTGGCATCCTACACATCCTACAACCGCACAAATAAAGTGAATCCCTACATTACTCGTTGTCAGATAGTTTGACAAAAATCTAATAAAATATTTTTAGCTCTCTGATGTACTTGAACGTTCGCTTTTCGTTGGATTACGTCCAACGAGAGCGTGGAAGCGTTGAACTGTAGAAAAAATAACTCTGAAATCAACATCCATCCATGTTTGCAAACGAATCGAAATTGATTTACTGTTTTTTTAAAAAAAATTTTTTTAATATAAATTATGTTTAGCATACTCTGAATACTACAAAAAAAATTTTAAAAAAATACTTTAAATACTTTTGCAATATTAATGTTTGCATATTGATTCTAGGACGAAGGCTGGAAATTGAATCGCACAAACTACTATCAAGAAGGATGGCTAGCGACAGGCAACATACGTGGCATCGTGGGAGTGACATTTACCACTTCACATTGTCGAAAGAATATGGACTACCCGCTCCGCACAAACTATAACCTACGTGGTCATAGATCAGATGTAAGTCAAGCAATGTTGTGACTATATAATTTTTTTATACACAACAAAATACTTAGTTAGGTTAGGTGATACCGTCAATGACTCCACTTAATTCTCTTCTAAAAATCCTTAACAACACTTACTGAAACAATCAATTCAGACATTGATAATATTCTTATTACAAAGTGAATATATCTTTGACTTGGCTTTTAATCTTTTTGATTTTTCTAACCGTTTATTTCCGACACCCTTTCCTTTTTTACGTACACTTTTCCATTTATCATACCCGTAGCTGATGTTTTTCGTCCTCTTTAAATCTAAAAATAAATGTAAATTAGGCACATAGAGGGCGCGATGGACAGCTGGAGAAAATATGACTAAAGAATGGCGACGCTACGCTCGCCAAAAGAAATATATATAGTCTTGCCAACACATTTTCTTATTGCTGTATTATCGATGGAATTGTAAAACACACACTAAATTTTGCATAATTATAATAAATTTCATTAATCAAAAAAGTATAAGGAAAATAATTAATAAACATATATGTGTAAGTACTATAAACTCTTATTCGTATGAATATACATATTTGTTTCAATTAAATATACTTCCCAAAAACAAAAAGAATAATTGTTCTATTAAGTTAATTACAACTGTAAATACTAGATAAATACTAGTAAATACTAGATAAAAGCACCAAAAATCAAAAAATAGTGTTAGATAAAAGTGCTAGCTATTAGCACGAAACGATATCTCTTGGCAGGAGTAGTAAAAGTTTAAAAATTAAAGCAATTATTTAATTTAATAATAATAAACTTTTTGACCATTTTTTATGTTTTCGTCTTAATGACATCTATATTTTGCTTTTCTAGGTTATATTAGTAAAATGGAACGAGCCTTATCAGAAATTAGCTTCATGTGATAGTTCCGGCATTATATTTGTTTGGATAAAATATGAAGGTCGTTGGTCTATAGAATTGATCAACGATCGTAACACACCAGTAACACATTTCTCTTGGTCTCATGATGGGCGCATGGCGTTAATATGTTATCAGGATGGCTTTGTGTTAGTTGGTTCAGTGGCTGGTCAACGCTACTGGTCATCGATGTTGAACTTAGAATCTACTATAACCTGTGGTATATGGACACCTGATGATCAGCAAGTATATTTCGGAACTACTCAGGGACAGATTATTGTAATGGATGTACATGGTGCTATGGTCTCGCAAGTACAATTGTGCAGCGATGTGGGTATTACGTCAATGGCTTGGTCTTGTGAAAAGTTCAAAATGGAAGAGGGTGAAGAAGCAGAACCGGGAGTTACCAATGCCTGTATGTAAAAAAATTTGTGTTTTAATGATTATTATATTATATATAATTCTTAAATTATTTTTACAGCAAAACGTACTTTTGTGCTTGCGGTTAGTTTTCAAAACGGTTACATATACTTGCTTAAATCATTTGATGATGTTTCTCCTGCTCATATAAATACTGGTTTAAATGGTTCACTCGGCATGGTTATGGAGTGGAGTAATTCTCGCGAATTATTAGCAGTAGCCGGAACAGTTCAACAGCCTACTGCATTGCTCGACAGTCATGGCGCGACAATGTATGAAAACACACTTAAATTCTACACTGAAAGTGGTGTTTTATTATACCAGGCGCGTATACCGAATAGTACATCACCAGTGTCAGCCTTAACTTGGGGTCATAATGATAAACGCTTATTCATAGCAACAGGAACACAAGTACATATAGCCTGGGTGTCGCGACGTGTTGCCTCGTTGCAACTTTTGTGTCGCCTACAAATACAGGCGCGTATAGGTTCTGATGCCGTTGTTGCCTTGCTGCCTTTACCATCAAGAATTAAGTCTTTGATCGGTAATTTATTTGCTCAAACTATAAGAGTACGTACATATATTACTAACTTTCGAACAAATATTTATAATAAAAACATATTTTTCGCAGTGTTGTGTACCTGATTTAAAATCATTAAGAGAATTTGTTTCGCGACCTCCCGTATGTTCCACTCGTTTGCACTGCACAATGATACGACATGATGATGATTCCAATTTAAGTTCCGGTACATGTTATACTCTGTATTTAGAATATTTAGGTGGCTTGGTGCCACTTCTAAAAGGCAAACGTACATCGAAAATACGTCCAGAGTTCGTTATATTTGATCCACAAGTGAACGGTAAAATTTAAATTTAAAGCTTTACATATATTTCCTAAACAAAGCATATCCCTTCCCCTTAAATAATAGATTCTTCAGTATTTTTGCAATATTCGCCAGATTCAAAAAGTTCCTCTGGTTCAAGTCAATCTACTACAACGGGTAATAGCGGACGTACTGATTCTTCTGATAGTGAGTATGAAGATCGTTGTCGTGGTTCACCCCGCACACCGCGTAAGCGTAAAATAAGACAGAAAAAACGGCCTACAGGTAATACAGATAGAGCTACAGGTTCTGGAGTAACAAATGATCCGGATAGCTTGGATGAACTTGCCTATGTAGACACATTACCCGAGGTAAACATATTCAAACTTAATTGAAATTAGACATACATTTCCCACTTGATTGCAGGAAGTCAAACTGGTTGAAGTTACCTCAAATATTTGGGGTACTAAATTCAAAATTCATGGACTTGCTAAAACCGTCCCAGCCAATTTAGGCCAAGTAACATATAAAACGTCCCTGCTGCATTTGCAACCCCGGCAAATGACTTTAGTCATAACCGAACTACGCGACGATTTTCCACTTGGGCCCGATCCAAATTTTAATCCAAACCTCTTCTCTGAGGATGAAGATGAAGCTATAGCAGCACACAACGCCAATGGATTAAGCAGCAGTTTGCCAAAAAACTCAACAGCTACAAATGAGCCTTTAACAAAACCTCCTAGCATAGCACATCGACGACTCAATGAAAGCGCTCCACCTATAGCACCAATGTCACCTCGACCTAATCGTTTACTGACACGACATAAAAACTCGTTAAACGGTAATAATCTATCAGGTAGTATGGGTATGAGTCCATTAGCCAGAGCTGAGTCTTATGATGACGACTCTTCCAATGAACAACTGGAAGCAAATAACAATAGTGCTATTCAAGCTTCAACATCGACTGTTGCTGTACTTCACAATACTACAAATGGTACAACTAATAATAAAATTTCGCGTCCAAAAAATATAACAACAACAACACCTGGTTCTCGTTCTGGACCTGGACCAGGATATAGTAGTTTTAAAAATAATTATAGTCGTTCAAGTTCAAATTCTAGTTGTCAGTCACGTCATGCGATATCACCACTCTATTGTGATGGTTCCGTCCCTACATTACAATCACCAAAAAACGCGGTGGCTCCCACTGATATCATATTTGAACGGCCGGCAGTTTCAGGAGCCGGCCAAACCACTTTAATGTCATATTCATGTAATGCGGATTACGCGAATAATGTAGTTCAAGTTAAAAATGCCATAATGTCCGAACCCATACGATCTGCAAATAGTCATGTTAATCCCGTGCCATTAAATCTTAATTTAAATCTAGAACGAATGGATCCAAAAATTAAATCAGTGGCAAATTGTGCGAAAAAACGTGATATACTTTTTATTGATGAAGAGTACCAATCACCAACACAACAAAGTGGTGGCGCAGCAGCTGTTATGCCCGGTACAAGCAATGAAATGCGTATGAAGCGCACGCCAACTGTAGTCTCCATAGCACCGGCCTTACCAGACTCGATAACGCGAAGTTGTAGTGTTGGTTATTTAGACTCAGTTGCAATTACACCGTCCGATGAAGCACTATCAGCGTTACGAAAAGACGCACCTCATAAGCGCCTTATATTGGTTGACAACAAAAAAAATCGTAAGAAACGCAGCAATAATGAGGTAAGTAGACATCTAAATAGTCAAAAAATTCAATGAAATAAGAATTAATTATATATAATTATTTTGTAATACTAGGATCTGCGGAAACCTAAGTTACATCAAACAGGCAAATCGAAGAGCTTGGATTCATGCGATTTATTGTTCGCCCAAACAAAACTCTCCAAGAATGACAATGAGAAAGTTTTACAGAAACTGCGTGAAATATCGGAGAGCAGCGCTTGCAGTAGTGCTGCCAATACACTTTGCTTTAAGTGTCGCAACAATATGAATCCCAACGAACCGTGCAAGCGTTGTCAACGCGCTTTAGGAACAACAACAAAAGATGATATTACTACCTTAGAGATAAGCGCTAAACCGACACCAGTAAAGACAGTTATAAACAAGAACGTACATCTATTTGATAATATCTGTAAACAGCAGTCCCAAAAAATTGAAACACCAGTCAAAAAGCGTTTGGACATAATCACCAGTTTCACCGATAGCCCACTTTTCACACGCAAACACCGTTTCGGGAACTATCGTAACAAAGAAGTGACTAATGGTGAAACAAACGGAGACTCTGCGAACACCACAACCACATCGAACACTTTCAGCTTAGTGAAGCAGTTGTCGGAAGTACGCTGGAGACGAAAGGAAGCACAAAATAATGGACAGAACTCAAATCAACAACATACTGCTAATCTGAATCAGACAGCACAACAACAGCAAACACATAGTAACGGATCTAACACGAATGGGAATGGTACTACAATCGAAGCGACACCTGTGGAAACTAAAACGTCCGTTTCTCTTCATACACAAGTACGATATATGTTTAAACATAAAACCTATATTCTAAAATTCTATGATTTAACTTTTTTGTAATTTTTTCAAAAGGCATTGACAACTTTAGAAAATATCATAAGTCGCTTACGTGATCTGGATGAAGGTCGTTTTACGCCACCAGCTTCACCTCAAAGAATGCCACGCAGTTCTCCAGCATCACCTGCCGCCAGTAAAAAGAACAAACGTCACCAAAGTAGTTCGCCTATTAGGAATATACTGAATTCTCCACTACTTAATCGTAGGCAACGCAAAAAACAAACAATTATAGAGAGTTCAGATGATGAGGCTAATTTAACTAATGGATCAGGTGAAGAAAATGGTGGCAACAATGGTTGCAGCAAGCAATACCGTGATTTGGAAACATTTCAAAAGGCACAATTAAGACAAAAGGTAGGACTCAAAGATTTTAATTTCAAAACATTTCTTTTTTTATAAATAATATTGTTTAGTTGAAACGTGGTAAAATTGAACCGAATGGTTTGTCCAATTGTTCCAACCCAGCGCCAGTGCGGAGAGAATTTGTTATGCATAATAAAGCGCCAATGTGGAATGAAATGAGTCAAGTATATCAATTGGATTTTGGAGGACGTGTTACACAAGAATCGGCAAAAAATTTTCAAATCGAATTTAGAGGGAAACAAGTGAGTACTTTTATCAAAAAGCTTTCAAATATGAATATTTAATATGAAACTTTAAAAATGTAGTCTATTTATAAATATAAATAATTAATAAGTGCGTATAAAAAAATTTATCATATTTATAAAAGTATAACTTTAAAATTAATAAACTCTGGGACTCACAAAAAAAATTAAAGAGCTAAAAACGGTAAGAAATGAGGTCCCAGTTATTATAATACCCAATAATTTAATAAAAAAGTACTTGAAATATTTCAGCAATAATATTTAAATATATATATTTATATAGTTTATATTAATACATATTAACCAATTTAAAATTGGACACTAAATTTATCAGATAATTTTTTTTCGTTTGTAAAAATATATTAGAAGTAATATATTAACATTTTTATAAAATAAATATATTATTAATTTTTATTTATATTCTAAAAAAATTTTATTTATATTCTAAATATTATCTTATTTTATTTCTATCTTATCTATTTTCTTATCTATTATCTATCTATCTTAGGTTATGCAGTTTGGACGTATCGATGGCAACGCCTATACACTGGATTTTCAGTATCCCTTCTCTGCATTACAGGCGTTCGCTGTGGCTTTGGCAAATGTCACTCAACGCTTAAAATAAATACGCTTCCCTTTATGATATTTTAAAATTTCATTCCTATTAAATGTACATAAAGTATCAAATCACAGAAATACAAAAACATTATGAAGTTCACAAAATAAACCAATGGTTGCAAAAATGCTCTCGTGTAAACGCAAAAAAATATTTTATTTATTTAAAGGACACATTTGCTATATACAATATTCAATCGCCAAGTACCATTTATGCAGTGGTTTAAAGCCAGCTTTTTAATTATTTTTTAAAATAAATTAAAATAAGGATATTTGTAAAAATTATTTTTGCACTTTACACTTTACAATATGTATTTTATATAATTTTTAATTAATTAAAATTTATATACGGTATGCAGCATCTTAATTAAAATATATATACAGAAAGCATTTTTATTTAAATATGATAAAATAATTATGCTATTCAATTATATACAAAATATATATATATATATATAATTTTTAATGTATTTGAATATGGTATGTCTGTAATATAATTTCGTATTTATGTCTGTTTTATAAACATTTTAATAATTAGTATATTTTTCATTGTCCTAGCGAAATTCGTTATTTATTTGTACATATTATATTAATAGTTTAATAATGTTTTATACAATTAGTATAAATTTACTTTAAAAAAATGTGTATTTTTACTTTTTGGTAATAATATTAAAATTAAATATTTTCTGCTTAATTGCAAATATTTTAATTCGATAGTAATAACTAAAGTAAAAACGCTTTTGTTGTAATTTATAAATATTTTTAAATCAATTGAAAATAATACAGAACGTTTTTATGTAGCATAATATTTTTAAATTTAATAAACACTTTTTACTTTTTTGTAGTTAGGCTAAAAATTTTAAATCGTTTTTGTTGTGGAATTCCAAATGGAAAATGCTAAATTTTTAATATTAATAATAAATTTATTTATAATTCATATAGAAAATATTCATAAGCATTTGTTTTAAAGTTCAAAACATATCGTCACATAACGCCCGAAAATATATATTATATAAATAAATGTAATTTATGTGAAATTCATAGTAAAATATTGAAGTGTTTTTTATGGCTTTGGTATGTAAATGACTAGGTAAGTATAAACACTGCAATTTAAATTTTGAAGTGTCAAAAATTATACCTCACGAAAAAAACTTAACTCCAGAAAAATGCTGCTATAACTGCTATTTTATTGGAGTCCTTCTAATAATAAATTGTAGTTGTAATTGTAATCAATTTGAACCATAAAGCAATAGAGACAATAACTTTTGAATATTTTCAATAAATCTTAATTACTGATCACAATCAATTTATGCATAATTTCTACTCTAATAACTCTATAATAATATCTTTAACATTTTAAAGATATAAAGTGAGTGTATGAGCTGGGTCTAAATACCTAAAAACCACTATAGAGCTTCAAAAAAGGTAATAAACTAGCAATCCATCACAAAATACTTGAATTTAATACAGTGGTTATGTGAATTTATTCCACATGACAAATATGTGGCCTAAGTTAAAATAAAATAAAAAATAATATAATAATAAAAAAAAATAATTATATAAAATAATAAATAAAAAAGTAAAATTCAAAACACAATATTAAAGTTTTTGTTTAATGAATTAATCCTACACACAAAATACCGCTTGCTGTTTACACACTTCTGAGTAAACCTAGCTAACTTACTGTTTATGCTGATTAAGCTATGACCACCAAAGTCAAGTTGTTTACTTAATGAACAATGTTTCCTCTTATAGAAATCATCTAAGATACGACAAACATCACTACACTTATCACTGGTCCTGGTTCTCAATGCATAACCCAGTTCTATGTCGGTCAATGTAAATAAAGTTAAAGAGCGCGTTTAATCGTCCGCCACGTTAAACTCCAACAGACATTCAAATATTTTAAGTGTGAACAGTTGGTTACTGTTAGAGAATTAAAGAATTGCAATGAGATAACATTAGATATAAACGTATACATATATTTAAAGTAATTCTAAGAAAATAAATATTTTAAACTCAATAATAATAGTTAATATAGAAAACTTTACTGTAGAAATGGCATCTTAAAAAAATTAACAAGTCATTAGATTCTATAAAAACACCAAAAAGTATTTCTATACCCAAAAAAATGATATAATAAACTATAATACAATAAATACATTTCATATAAAATTCTTCATTTATTATAAAGTCTTCTGTTACAAGTTACAGACAAGTTTATGTGGCATGTTATTTAAATGTTTATTTTTCCATTACAAATCTCATAGAGCGCGAACCTATGTTCAATAATCAAAAAGTTCATGTTCCATGTACTTAGCCGCTGTTTGGGAAATTATTAAATTTCCCAAATCAGCTGTTTGCATACGGAATGTAAACAAAATGCAATTGAAAGAAAATTTAATTGGTGGTAGTTTAATAATATTGATAAAATGTTAAAATTTGGAAAGAATGTGCATTTTAATATTATAACAAATACACAAAAATATAAACAATTTCTTAGAAATATAAATGTAACATCATATAACAAAGAGAAAGGTATAAGTTATTCTTATTTTAAAAAATATATATTATATTCTACGTTATAGAAGAGTCGGTTGTGGAGCCAAATGTAATAATAGAAAAAGATCAAAACATTACCTTAATTGGTCTGAATCGTCCCGAACATCGTAATTCTATAGATTCAGCTACCGCATCACTATTATGTGAAGCTTTAAATAAATTTGAAGCTGATGAAACTTCTCCAGTTGCTGTACTCTATGGAATTGGAGGGTCATTTTGTGCCGGTTATGATGTAAAAGAACTGGAAGAACAAATAGAAAAAGGCAGCCTAGAGTTTTTATTAAAGCGAGACGGTGCTGCAGGTCCAACCCGACGTCACTTACGCAAACCAGTTGTAGCCGGCATTAATGGATTTTGTGTTGGAAATGGTCTTGAATTAGCGTTAATGTGTGATCTCCGTGTTATGGAAGATACTGCTGTAATGGGTTTCTTTAATCGTTATATGGGTGTACCACTTAGCGACGGTGGCACTGTACGTTTAGCAGCATCTGTAGGTTATTCTCGTGCATTGGACTTAATTACAACCGGTAGACGCATAACAGCACAGGAGGCATTAGAAATTGGTTTAATTAATCGTATAGTTACAACGGGCACAGGTCTTGGTCAAGCAGTGAATTTAGCTTGTTCCATAGAAAAATTTCCAAATGCCGCACTGCAACATGATCGAAATACTATGTATGCAAACGTTTATGATAAAAAAGAATTTCGTATTGGTGCACAAAATGAAGTCTTAACTATATCCCACGACGTACTTCAGGAAATGAAGGAGGGTGTCATAAGATTTGAAAAATGTTTGTATGTTTATATAAAAATATATATTTTTTAACTATTATTTTTTTTTTTTTTATAAACAGCAAAAACCAAAGGCTCCAGAACAAAGAGCTGGGATATTAAGCAAAAATTTATACCTGATTGGGAAAAGACAGAAATAGAACATGAAGAGCGTTATGCAAGAGAGAAAAAGAATAAGAATAAATAATGAAATAAAAATTAAATTATAGAATATTATACATTTATAGTTAAGCTTTAAAAAAATTTGTGTTAATACACTCATTTTGGCAATTTTTATGTACCTTTTTTTAAACGTAGTTAACTGTTAGTCTATGGCAAAAATCTATGTAATTCTATTAAAATATACCTATTCTTACATTTTTAATTGTTTTTTATATTTATTTCAGTGATATTAATAATCTTAATAAAATCTAGCAAACACTTTTTTTAAGAGTTTTTATAACCATCATCCTTGTAAATGTGGGAATTCTAATTGAAGTAAGCAGTGACAACTTCCCGCGATTAATCAGTTATAGAACCTATATTATATAATTTTATTTTACGCTTTTAAAACTGTACAAATCCGTGTGTTATTCTGCATACCTATATAGGTCATTAATTATATCTAGTAGTGCAATTAATAATTGTTCAATGTTTTGCATGCATTTTGTCATTTTTTTTAAATTCTAAGATTTATTTCTCTATTAGTTCTTATTTAGAATTTTTTCAATCGTTCACTTATGTTTTATATTTTACCATTTTATATATAAAGCTTCCACATGTCCTTAAATGTGTGTGTTAACATTAACATTACTTTTCAGGACTAAGTTCCGATGGTGTCATGAGTTCACGTTTATGCTTTTCTTTAAGAATGTTACAATCGTTCATTATTAACTGGTACTAAATAATTTATTATTTTTTACATATATGTATATAATTCCAATAATTCCAAGTTATTACAATGAGAATTTGGAAGCCTTTCGAAAAGTAGTGAACTACAACAGAAATGAAAGTTCATTCCCTTGAATATAGCTATGTCCAGGAACCCAGGAAAGAGAGACCTTGTGATGTTTGATGCTAATAAGTGTGGCGCTACATCTTAATACAATCTTCGAATTAACTGTTTTGGATTTAATTGCTTTCAGTGCGGCCTCATTATTTACAAAAATAGTGATATTTCAAGGACGAATTGTATTTAGTTGTATAAAATTGTCCGCTTTTCATCTCGACTTGAACGACGCTGCAAGTATCAGGGAGTCGGTAGGACTACCTTATTTGCATATCTTTCGAGAAGATATCTGCTCCCGTGTCACACTCCAACTTTGTGCCATCTGTGTGAATGGTAACTCCAGAGTAAACTGTGACCTAAACATGCCTGACTTATATGTTTAAACTGTATTTATGTTTGGAGGTAGAAGATAGTTTAAAGATTTCGAAATTCTGGAATTTATTCAATGTCCTAGAAATAATAAAACAAATCATATTTAATATACATCAATAATAATGAATTATATCGGAAAGCATGAAACATAAATTATTTTTCACGTCAGCTCCCTGTATTATTTCAATACGGTTTTAAAATTTTTCAACAGCCCTGTGACAGCTGATATATGGTAAACTATTGTGAATTTCATTAAGGCCGGCAACTGTATTGGAATTTACTTCCAAATAATTATTTATATCTACTATATTAATAAAATATTTAACACAATATGTTACGACAAATAGTAAAACAAATAAATAAAAGTTTGGATGTTGCACTTCCATTCGCTCGTTCTATATGCACAACCAGAGAACTGTGGGTGCAAGAAGGTTGTGGTGACATAAACGATATAAATAATTTACAATAAACATTCATATTTTTAGATACAAAGGAAAAAATACCAGAAAAACCTACAATACTACTGGAAAAAGATAACAACATAACTTTAATTGGCCTGAACAGACCAGAACAAAGAAATGCAATTGATGCAGTTGCAGCAGCCAAATTATGTGAAGCGTTTAATGCATTCGAAGCAGATGAAACATCACCTGTGGCTGTGCTGTATGGAGTTGGTGGATCATTTTGTTCCGGATTTGATATATTAGATTTAGCTACAGAAGACAGAGAAGACATCAGTATGGAAATGCTAATGACTCAAGAAGGATCTGTTGGTCCAACAAGAAGATTTATAAGTAAACCTGTTGTATGCGGCATAAGTGGTTATTGCGTAGCTGGTGGTATGGAACTGGCTTTAATGTGCGATTTACGCGTTATGGAGGAAACAGCAATTTTAGGTTTCTTCAATCGACGTTTTGGTGTGCCTGTTATAGATGGCGGTACTGTACGTTTACCCGCTATGATTGGATTTTCAAGAGCCTTAGATTTAATATTAACTGGACGACAAGTGAATGCTGATGAAGCGTACAAAATGGGTATTGCGAATAGAATTGTTCCAACCGGAACATCTCTAGGTAAAGCAATGGAGCTAGCAACTACTTTGTCCAGATTTCCACAAGGCGCACTAAGACATGATCGTAATTCATTGTACTCTGCAGTTTTCGGTGCTATTAACTTTAATCAAGCCGTACAAAATGAAATTATGTATACATCAAAGGACATAATAGATCAAATGCAAGAAGGCATCAAATGGTTCAATAGAAGTAAGTAATTGGAAACAGAAATTATTTATTTATAATTTATTAACCAAATTTTACAAACAGCTTTTAAAAGCGATACTACATATTCTTGGATGAAACGCGAAATGTCTATGGCGGACTGGGACGATGAAAGGGTGGCCGCCGAAGCTTCTAAGCTAGAACAATCGAAACAAGCAGAAAAAGCTAGACAGATAGAAGCGGAAAAAACTAAGAAAGAGGAACAGAAAAAACCTAAGGAAGAATAATTTTTTGTACACATGAATATTTTTACTTGTTGCGCTTCTCATGCTTTAAAAATATGTTTCTAATTTACTTAAAAAATAATATTATTTTGTTAAAATGGATTATAAATAACAATTAATATATGTTAAACTAAATATGTGATTTTTTTCATGAAAATGAAATTTTTATAATGTAAATTTCTTACTACTATGATTGGAAAATGTTTATTCCATTTAGATTTTCTTTCTGAGCGTTGATTACTTTCATCGTAAATATTTTAGTTTATTTTGGTAATCATATGGAAATGTTCCAACGCAACAATAACTACTGCATAATTTTTATTGAAATTTTTTCAATTCTAACATTTTGTTTTATTTTTAAATGTTTTATAATAAGAGTTTCTAGTTTATACATACATCATTTTCTTACATATAATGTATTCTTTTTCTTTTATGTTAATTATAATAAATTCCTTCGTATTAAACAATATCAAAAAAAAGACAGTGAAAAAGTATACACAGATTCTTACACCATTTAGTTCACAAGCATAGAGTATGCTTTTAAATAACTACATGGCTTAGGACACTTAGGTCAGTTTAAGTTGCTTTAATTCGTTACTATATAACAATGTTATCTGCATATAATGCATCCTCAGTTGCTTCTCTCACCATGTCTCTCCACATTTCAATCTCGGCTTGTAATTGTACAATTCTCTTCTTTAATTTTGTAATTTCCTGACTTTTCACTTTATTTAAAGTTCGTTCTTTCTCATTTTCTTTTTTGTAGGAAGCACAATTATTACAATATCCACGGTTTGAGCTGTTATTTACATCTTCACTTATTTTTGAATCTTCCAATTGCTCACAGTCTACTATGTCTATTTCTTGTTCCTTTTTGAACAGAACTTCGTGTTGCTTTGGAAATGCATTGCATTTAAGTTTATTCTCCATAATCATATGTGGTTCAAAGTGCTCGGCACATATGAACAACGGGGAAGTTTGAGATTCACTTTCCATACCACAAGCCTTAATCCACTCCAATCTTTTTTGGTCATCTTGTGGAAATGAAAACAAAGTATTAGGTGGCTCTGTTGCTGGACAAGCTTGTATAGCGCACTTGCGTATATTTGAATCTGGGCTTTCGCAGTAAGGATTAGTAGCAACTGAATGATCTATTAGAATAATATAAAAAGCAAAATAAAGGTATTAATAGTTTATAGTTTTACCAAAGATAGTTTTACCTAAGTTTAATGTTGGTTGCGCTCCAAATTTCAATCTTCTTCTCACACGGTGCATGTCGT